TTCACTCTAATAACTAGGCCTAGGCCTAAGTAATAGTAATTTTTAAATGAACGTTATTTAAGTTTGTCTATTAGTTTATTCAATGTTAGGTTATGGTTTAATATTAACCTCAAAATCTTCTGTTTGGTTCTTTTCCAATTTGAAGAATTTGGTAGTCTCTTTCTTGCTTCGACAAAGGAGATTCTTTAACATTAGTTCCTTCCATGTTATTTCTGCGGGTTTATTACAGTAATATCTTTTTAGTATATTAGTAAAACTTTAAAATACTAAACAAAACAACGCCAGTCACAAGATACCAGAATAGCTCAATTCACTGCTGTCTTCTGTTTCACCTGAGGTGGTGAGGTCACGTGACAGAATGAAGCCATCTGATTAGTGCTTTGTGGAGATGGTCGTTTTTGTCACCAACATATTTGAGAGCTGGCCAATTTGTAAACAAGGGTACTATTCAAATGCAGTCATTGGCTGGCCATTTTTGACACCAAAACTATTTAGATTTGGATTCCCCATGTTATTTTACACAAGAATCCGTCAATGTTTGAATTTTCAAAAAAATGGTGTTGGCCATCTTTGAAAACCAGGCTACAGATATATATATATATATATATATATATATATATATATATATATATACAGGGTGAGTCACGCTCAACGGACGGAGCCTACCGGGGAAACGGCTAAAGATATTAAAAATTTCTTTTGCAGGAATACGTAGCTTAATACGGCTACAAATTAAAATTTGTGAGATATATACAGGGTGTCCCAATTTGGCGTAATGATATAAACTTATACTTTTTTAAATGGAACAACATATATTTCACTTTAATTTTGAATTCTACTGAACAAAATAATGTTACTTTATTTAACATTCCCTATACCTATTTTTGACCGGTTTTGATTTATTTGGGTTTTTCTGAAGATGTACTATTCGCGAAATTAATTAATTACACAATATCGCATAAATTTTAATTAACGCCTTTTTGTCAGTTAATTGTCAAGTATCCATGCTTTACATCAGAATAATTACCATTTGAAACTAATCTACAGAGTGTTCGTAATCTGAAGTGTCAATGCTGTACCATATTTTGTATAATTACTTTCTTAACTTAAATGAGACACCCTGTATTTTACTTTAATTTTGAATTCTAATTAAAAAAATAATATTACTTTATTAAACAATCCCTATACCAATCTTTAAAAATTTTCGATTTATTTGCGTTTTTTTAAAAATGCACTATGTATTCTTGAAATTAATTAATTTTTATCACTTTATTACATAAAGTTCTACTCTAACTTAAACAAAAACCCTGTATTTGAATGTTGTAACAATTATTATAATCAAACTATTATAAAATTTTATATTAATATCTAGTATCTTCAAATACATTTGCATTATGTTACCTGGAACATTAAATGTCATTAATTACATAGCTCGTTATTATAAAGAATGCCATGAAAAAACAAAAGGTACCTAGCTGTCAAACTAATTGTCAAACTATTAACTGTATTGCTTTCAATTAAATAGAAATGGCAGATTATTCAATTGAAGACCGAGTAAATATGATTTTAATACTGGGTAAATGTGATCAAAACAGTTTGTTAGCATCAAGAGTCTATGCTGAGAGATTTCCCTTAAAACGTCATCCTCGTAAAGAAGTATTTGACAGAGTCTTAACAAGGTTTTGTGAAACTGGCAGTGTTGTTTATACTAAACGAAAATTAATAAATCCGATAACTGAAGATGAAAATACCGAATTAGAAGTTATTCAATCAGTTATTGAAAATCCAAATACAAGTACAAGGACGATGGCCAGGGAGATTGAAGTAAGCCAAACTAGTATATGCAGAATTTAAAAAAAATATCAATATCACCCATACCATATTCAAATGCATCAGCATTTGTATGGAACTGATTTTGAACGTAGGTTAGAATTTTGTTTATGGTTTCTAGACAAAACGGGAGCAGATCAACATTTTTTTGATAAAATTTTGTTCACTGATGAATCTACTTTCCATAATAATGGACTCGTGAACCGACATAACTTTCACTATTATAATACGAAAAAATCAACATGAATATAGATGTACTGATCGACAAAACCGATGGCCCCTTTTAATGTATATGGTGGAATATGTGATAGGACCGTATTTTTTTAATGGTCATTTAAATGGACAAAAGTTTTTAAGATTTCTACGAAGAGACTTTTGGATACTTTTGCAAAATATCCCTTTAAATATTAGAAGAACAATGTTTCTACAGCTAGACGGTGCTCCAGCACATTACAGGCGTAACGTTAGAAAATATTTAGACAGAAAATTTCCCGGAAAGTGGATAGGTAGGGGTGGTGCTGTCAATTGGCCCCCTAGATCACCTGGGTTAACATCAATGGACTTTTTTTTGGGGATATATTAAAAGTTTGGTTTATCAAACTCCATCTACAACTGCTGAAGACATGAAAACGCGTATTCGTAATGCGTTTGCAACAGTTACTCCAGAAATGCTAAGAAGAGTAAAACAAAATTTTGAACACAGGGTGAGGTTATGTATTGAGGAAAATGGACACCATTTTGAACATTTAATGTAAATTAATTTTTTTCTAGTGTGTTTTGTTTAACTTTATGTAATAAAGTGCAATTAATTAATTTCAAGAATAGTGCATTTTCAAAAAAACCCAAATTAATCGAAAATTATAAAGGATAGGTATAGGGATTGTTTAATAAAGTAATATTATTTTTTTTGATTAGAATTCAAAATTAAAGTAAAATATAGGGTGTCCTATTTAAGTTAAGAAAGTAATTACACAAAATATTATACAGCATTGACACTTCGTATTGCGAACACTCTGTAGATTCATTTCAATTGGTAATTATTCTAATGTAAAGCATGGACACTTGAAAATTAATTGACAAAAAGGCGTTAATTATAATTGATGCGATATTGTGTAATTAATTAATTTCGCGAATAGTACATTTTCAGAACGACCCAAATAAATCGAAACCGGTCAAAAATAGGTATAGGGAATGTTGAATAAAGTAACATTATTTTGTTCAGTAGAATTCAAAATTAAAGTGAAATATAGGTTATTCCATTTAAAAAAGTATAAGTTTATATCATTACGCCAAATTGGGACACCCTGTATACATCTCACAAATTTTAATTTGCAGCCGGTACTGACCTACGTATTCCTACAAAAGGAATTTTTAATATCTTTAGCCATTTCCCCGGTAGGCTCCGTCCCGTTGAGCGTGACTCACCCTGTATATATATATATATATATATATATATATATATATATATATATATATATATAAATAAGGATCACTCAGATGAGTGATGGGTTCAATCGGTCAACTAGGTAGAGAAATAAAAGACAAAGTTGATACTACTTCATCTATTTTGAAGACGTTTCGCTATCGAATTCTGATAGCATCATCAGTTCATCTAAAAAATTATTTACATTAGAGTACCACACATTCATGAAGAAGATGTTAAATAGTTACCTTAAAAAAGATATGTAGTTGTCAATGGTATTAAAAAGTCAGTACAAAAACTCAAATAAATGGACATCGTATGGTGATATTGTATAAACAATTAAATAACTAACAACATTAAGAGACTTAGTAAAAATTAGCAAAGCAACAGAACACGTGGTGTAATAAGCATATAATATTTAGTATAATATTAACTAGTGAAGCAGAACTAAGAAAATCATTGATTCACTTCCAACTAAGCAAAAAAATTTTTATTTTAACTTCATCTTAACTTTTGGTAGCATTATTAAAGTTAACTACATTAAGATATAAAAAATATGTATAAAAAGATATAAAGTTAAGTTACCACTGTTTGCTTGGCACCTGTTGCAGTTGAAATGGCGTTAAATTAAAAGGTACCGAGTCAATGACATGAACAGACAGCCAGCCTTGAGGTCGAAAATTAATCGACAGAACAGCAAGGTTAATAATACCAACCCACTAATTTAAGGGCGGTAAATTTGAAAAAGTTAACATGAGTTTAAATGATAACCCTCCCGTAAGAGACCAAACAATGAAAGAAATTAGCGATAACGCTAATCCCTGCATCAACTAGTCTAGAACAAACAAGTAGGCCAAATTCATTAAACTCCATATTTAAAAGAGTGGTAAACGTCAACAGTGTAGTTGGTTATACATCTACAGGTGTTTGACGATAAGCACCTAATTTCCAAAAAGTCCAAGGTCCCACGCTTGGAACTTTAATTTGTAAAATATTCAAAGGTTGAATTGTATTTATTTATATTAAAGTGAAAACCAGAGGGTCAAATTGATCAATATATGAAAAACGATCAAAAAAATTTTTAGATGAACTGATGATGCTATCAGAATTCGATAGCGAAACGTCTTCAAAATAGATGAAGTAGTATCAACTTTGTCTTTTATTTCTCCACCTAGTTGACCGATTGAACCCATCACTCATCTGAGTGATCCTTATTTATATTGGATAGACGGTCGTACTCCTTTTTGCGATATATATATATATATATATATATATATATATATATATATATATATATATATATATATATATATCCTTCTCAAAAAACTAATTTAATTTAAAAGAATAGAAACGTGAAAGTTGCAATACCCATCTTGAAAGACCTTTCAAGTATCTATTCAATTATGGCAAAAGTTTTAGATTTTATTTGAATAATAACCTATTACAGTAAACAATATAATTTACCGTAAATAATATCATTTACTGTAATAATTAATGATGGTAAAATCCAAATCCACTCGTTTCAAGATTGTTCTCTGTTAATTGTTCTGTTGATTTTCGAAATAATAAATTTTATTCGGTCTATTTGTACCACAAAATAAATCAATTTAAGTGTTGACTAACTTTCTTTGGTATTACAACAATTTTACATTTATTTAAACGTGAAGCTCAAGCATTATTTTATACAAAACAAAAAATTTGTTTAATTTCTAACTAAGTATTGGACAGGTATACATAGAGTGTGATATAAAAAGTGTGAAATAAAAATTTATTTTATAATCTTGTACAATTATATATACAATTATAAATTTTAATATGTTATATAATATGTATGTAAGTCGAGTTATATATCTTTATTTGTGAAACGTTAATTTTGTAATTTCTGAACATACTTCTTACGGCAATCCATACTATCACTAGGTCTGTTAAAGGAAGTCCAATTGGCTTCAGAAATAAAAAATCTCCCCAATCTTATATGATTTTGACTATCCAAAGTAAATCTGTGATAGATTCCACTTGGTAATATCAGCAAATCTCCTGGTACAATTTCAATTCTAACCCACTCATCATTCGCATCTCGTACATCAAAATAAGCAGATCCGTCAACACATAAGCGAATTTCGTCATCTTTATGAAGGTGTTCAGTATAAAAAATTTTGGACATTTCTCCATTGTTCTGTAAACATTTTTCCGTAGTTATTTCGTCTTCGTAGTGACAACCATTTTGTTCCTTTATCTGGTCTAACACACCGTCTGTATCTATGGTAGCAATATTAAGTTTATAATATTTAACACCAAGTGAACTATTTAAATCATTTACATTAATATATTCCCCTGGTATCTTTTGATGAGGTAAACTCTTATCACTAGCATTGTCATTGTCCATATACCAAGCACGAACCATATTTGTGATAACACACTTCAAGTATTGTAAACAACCTTTATGTAGAAATCTACTGCACTTACTGAATCGTGTTTATATTGTTTATCTGGCAATTGGTTTTTCGCGTTATCAATTTCTAGAGATGTAAATAAAGAAATGGAACTGTATCTGTTCCTTCATAGAAAACTGTTACCAAAACATATTTTTCTCATTCCATGAGCTCAATTATTTAACAAATACATTTAACAATATCAGAAAAAATTGAATTTGAATATAACAAATTATGGGATATATAAAGTGCGCCAAACCTTTGGTTTTCGTTTGTTACAGCTAAATCACGTAGGTAGCTCAAGGTCAAACTAAACAAAATGTCATTTGTAGTACCGATACAAATCTTTTGATGTCGCTATAATCCACATTTAGTCTATACTCTGCAATTTAGGTTTAGAACCAAACTAAAAATTATAATTGTCAATCGCTAACTATCAGAATCAGTAATAATAATTGATTAGCGTATATATAATCAGATTTCAGATGGTTATTATTCGTCTAAATTGTTTGATTTGATAGTTATTATTGCAAAGAAATCAAACTAAACTTGGTTTAATATCTCTGGGTTATTGTTAGCATTAACCTGTGGCTTAGTGTTATAAAAATCCTAATTTAGATGACGAATTCCACAATTCCACTACAGTTTTTAAAACAAAACGAATATGAAGATAGGTTTGCTTCTACATGGAGTCATAGCTTGTACCAAAATAGAATTTCTGAGAATAAATAGCTGATTGATTTTGGATTCTTCTTCTAATCTACATCCTAGAAGTATTTCAATGTTGGGCGTGGAAGCAAATGTAATATAAAGTAAGTAACTCTCATACGACATTACATTGTAATAAATCAAAAATTATTTTACTTGAAGTGAATCATGGTATAAATTATAACTTTTTGTTTTAGTTGAAAGTTCTTTAGGAAGTAGAGATGCACAATCTACACACATGCTTCAATCATTTGAGATACCCTATTGTAGTATATAAAATTGTACAATTTTCAGTGGTATTAAAGCATATTTCTATTGTATTCTAAATTAATATACAAAGTTGTTTGACGTGTATTAAATAAATAAATAAATTATATTTTGTTTTATTTTTTCGTAAATGGTATTGTGTATATTTGGATTTAAAAATAATTTGCACATTTTTAAATTTAAAATGCATTTTTTTTTAAATATACCAAATTTAAATATTTTAAGCTTTATTTAAATATCCCACCAAAATTAAATTTTAAAATTCCCGCGTAATTTCCAGCTTGAATTAGTTCCGATACAAATCTCTTGGAGCGCTGAATTTCATATCTTAATAAAGTATTGTCGTGAAGCATCTAGAGGTAGGTGATTTGTGAGCTAAACTGTGGAATATAACTGTGGGTACTACTACTTACGGTTAAACTATGATTTAAAGTTATTTTCGATTATACATGACAATCGTAACACGGAAATAAACCAAAGTTGTGTTTTTGTTACATGAAACACTCTGCATATTAAAGCATTTACTCCAGTTGTCAAAGACCAAAATGCCACTGAAATTCTAAAAATCATACGTATGAGTTGAACTTTGCTGACAGTGTCATTTTGGGACCTCAAAAAAGATGAAATAAAGTTGATCACTTTTCCTAAGGATCTTAGGAGAACCTAAGATTTTTTTTTAAATTGTAAACATTTTTTTGGCTTATAAAAACATAGAATAACTTGCGACATTTAAACATATCAATTTTAAAATGTGTACACTTATAAAACTTTCAAAGATGCCTCTTCAAAAGTTGGCATACATTTAACGCCAACTAAAGGATAGAGAGCTCGTTTTTAAACAAATACCCTTGTCTTATCAACTATTTTTTACAAAATTTTTGCTTGATGCGTCTCGTAACAACATGCATAAAAAGACAAAATAAGAATAGTTTTCACGTAAAATATCGCTCGAAGTGCATGGAGGATAGAAGATAGGGTGGGGATAGCAAAGGAAAAAAATTAATCAGCGAGTTCAAAATCACAACGTGCTCCAACCAAAAATTGCATTTTCTCAGCCACCTATCGTCTGATGTTAATCTTTTTTTTAACCGATGTCTTGGACGACAATATTTAAAATATGATATTTATAAACCCTTATATTGAAGGTTTGATCCTTTCAAAAGTTAACATACTCCTTTTATAACTTGACTGCACCGTATTGATGACGACCAACTAGTCATAAATACTTGCGGTTGCCTTCCATCGATATACTTACTTTGTTTTTGTTTTTGTTTTAATGTTTTGCAAATTACATTTTACCTTTATTATTCACTCGTATTAACCTTCCATATATATATATATATATATATATATATATATATATATATATAATATATATATATATATTGTTGTACTTTTGAATGTCCATAAGCAATAAAAAACCGATATACAAATTTTATTACTTAAATAAAAATTAAAATTATTGATATTTCATAAAGACACGGGCATATAAATTTTCAAACATCCTGTATAAGACAAAATATGTATTTTAAGTTGTTCGAAAGAATTGTTCATTAGGCCTCAGAGACAAGACTTTCAAATATTATCGATAAGAAATTTAAATAAGTCGGTTATTGTGGAATGGATTTACCCGTAATAAAAGTGTATATAGAAAGTGTTTAAACAATAGAAAGGGATGTGCGGTGGTTTTTCCCCCCGAAAGATTATATCGGTAAAAGTTTATTAACAAAAGACATTGAATTGAGAAACAGGTATCGTTTGTAGCTATTAGTAAGAAATATTTGTAAAGCAGATAGATTTAGCTAGAATAATTAAAGAATGTTGTTTTCTGGAATTACCTGAATGACGTTTTATAGAGAGAGTTGGTTGGTAACGATATACGTGACAGAGGTAGAAGATTTTTATTGGTCAATTTTTGAATGCAAGGAGGGAGTGGTTTTAGCTATGAGATAGGAGAGAGGAAAGGAGTTAGTCAGTTTTCGTCGCCCAAGAAGGAAGGAGCTTTGTGGTTTGTGTTTGTTTGAAGTCCCGAAGACGTAATTTACCGGGTGTGTTTATTTGCTGTGTAAAAGCTGATCAGTGTGAGGAACGGGGTACAGAGAGATAGAAAAACCAAAAGGTTATAAGAATATTAATAGCAGACGAAGCCGGAAACATTTGAAGTTATAAACAGGCGCGGAGATTGTTTCAAAAGGAGGCTGCATAGAATTACACGAGTTGTTGGGTTGCAGATACAAGGACAGATAGGAGAAAGGTGTACGTCTTCTGGACCAAAATAGGAGCAGAAGCAGAGAAAGGTTTTTTTTTTTTATGGCGTGGCCATAGAATTGCAACGACAGATAACGAAAGGTCAGTCAATTTTCATTAGAGCAGGAGTGTGGTTTTCATTTATTAATTAAATAAATTGAATAAATAATAGAGACAGTTAATTTTGCGATCATTTAAAAAAAAAATTATAAAGAGAGCTTAGTTATAACACATATTAAAAATCAGTGTAAAATAACATTTGGGTCCATGATAGAAAACAACTTCTCATATATTTAAAGTATTGTATTGCAAATATTAAAGGATTGATTGTTATATAAAATTTCAATAAAATAAAGGACATCTCACATATACTTCAGTTGAAATTCTGTGTATTTTATTCAGGTCATATTACCTATCCCAATTAGGAAGCCAATTGGAAAATATTTTGAATCCACGATCAAAGGTAAATAGTACAAGTTAAATAGCCTGAGATTGTAATTAATTAATGCTGATTTAGTGTGATTAATTGGAGATTAGATCATTTAATAAATATAGACAGGATCTTTTCTAAATAAGCAATAGAATACAATTTAAATAGCATAACAATATATATATATATATATATATATATATATATATATATATATATATATATATATTTTGCTTACCACTGGGTAAGAACATGGGGGAGAAGATTAAGCAAACAAAATAATCGGAACTAGTGTGAACGACACTCAGAGGGTTGTTGGAGGGCTGGATCGTGAATAAATTGAAATAAATTTGGGTCGGATTGAGATATCTACTAAATGAAAACAAAGGGATACTTACATAAATCTGCTTATATAAAAAAGAAGCTTCTAGCAATTTGAGAGAAGGCGCCGCTTCGAAGGATCCTAGTTTGCTGAAGGTAAGACAAAATTCTTCTTTCCTAAAATCAAATATACATACAAGGATTAGGAGACTTTTCTAAATTAAAACATAAATGGATCAGACAAACAAATCGAACGTTTATTTTTGTCTCAAACAAACAGTTTTCAAAAATACATATTATACAAGAGCATACTATATAACAAATTAACAAAAACTTACGTGTTATTTGTTTACAAAAGAAATGGCTACAAAAATTCTTGAAATGGTTCCTAGGTTATAATACGGCCAATGTAGATTATCAAAAAAAAACTTATGGATATCCTTTTTATGAAAATACTGTAGAATTTAACCTTATATATGAAATATCTTTTTTATATAATAATCAAATAAAAATTGTTTTACAACAACAGTGGATTAGACCAAATGTCATATTTCAACATAACATTTTAAATCAGAATAAAATAAGACATTTTTTAGCTACGATTCATAACATAATATAAAACTTTAATTATTACAAATTGTTTTATTTTAATGAAAGCAAATATTAAAAATGTCTATATAATTTGGAAAATATAATATATTGAATTGTTACCTTAATTCACAATTGAATTTAACTTTGAAAAAGAAAAAACTTTCTACATCTATGGGGAAGCTACTTGGACATATTATTTAACAGAAACAAGGAAACCATTTCCATACTCAGGAACGACGATTAAATCAGGTTTTGTGGAGTAACAAAACAGACGACAGGGACATCCTATATACTAATTTCATCAATCTCCGGTATCTGTACAAATCTTATGGTGACTACTCTGTTCTAACTGCAATCAATTGCAGAGAGTATTGTCACATTGACCGGTCTTAAAACATTTAAAAAAATTAATCGATTTCCGATTCAAAATCGCCCAAAAATATCTATCGTCTCAAATCTGT